GTCTACATTTTTGGATGGATGAATCAGGATAAATGTTCCAACTCCAGTTTTGAGCTCTCCAGCATGTTTCATGCTCCAGGACAGTCTTCCTGATGTCATTAGAGGTGGGTCAGGCTCACTAGGACAAGATCATCTGGATCACAGGAGCTGAATCTTACTCAAATATGGAGACAAAGAGACATACCAATGCTCTCAGCAGCCAATTAGTTCAAATGAATTACTGGTACAGACCCAGCACTGTTACTGTCACAGCTTCAGTGCATGAGTTATTTCTGAAGATATCTACATGCCCTGCCAAACTGATACGACTTTGCTCACTCAGTAAACCTGATTTTTTCAGGACCAAAAGGAGGGGCAAAAACATCCAACATGCTTATGGAAAATTGGGAATTTCAGCTGGGAAAAGCACATGCAGGCTGGAGACCTAAAAAACTACAGGAATCCTATGCCAGCCCACAGGGACCCCAACAGCTGGGGAACCTGCCTCTGAACACTGCCTGACAGAGCTCAGCATCAGTGCAGTATTACATTTTTTCAAGCATCTTAAAACAATCTGTTACCATGAAAATCAAATGAAAGTGAAAGGCACTGTAATGTAGAGTGGAAAAACCTGAACATAGACAAAATCCCTAATATGCAATTATTTGTTCTCCAGCAGGTTTATTTTTACAGAGTACATGATATTAGGAAAGCCTGAAAATCATTTATCCCCACTCCACCTCATCACACATCAAGAAAATCCGCAGGTAGCGTTACCTATCCATCACGTGGACCCATTAAGAGGAAGGGATTATTACAGTTTCTGGAGTCACCCAGGCGGTGAGATTATCCAAGTCCCAGCTTGTTCCCAGTCTGCCGGGGAGGCAGCACCCAGGCTGCGGCCTGGGGCCAAGCACTAACTTGCAATCAGGTCTGGGCAACAGGCGCCCGCGCCCAGCAGCCGGCCCCGCAACGCCGGCTGGCCCTGCTCTGCCCGGAGCTGGGAGATCAACAAGCATCTCTCAGCTCAACCACTGTCAAGAACACAGCCACAGCAACACTCAGACCCTACAAAGTGCTTCCACCTGTGACTTTATTTCATGAGACAAGACTTAATTTGTCATCCTACTGGGAGAGATACAGGCATGCCCACAGGAGCTGGGGTATCAACGCCAGTGCATGTGGAGAAGTAAAGCATCACCTTCCCCGACTGCCCAGCATCACCCCTTCAACCCCCCTGCTCTACCCACACTTAGGGTGCCTCAGACCCCACGATGAACTGTCAGACCTTGATTACTGTAAAACCCAACCTGCCTGCAGCCACAAGCTGTATGTCAGAGCACATAATCTGCTTTACTGCACCCAGGAGTTGTAACAAACGGAGGATTAAGACTTCAGGCAGCGGACAAACAGCAACAGATGCTTCCTAAACTGAGATTGTTTGTAGGCAGATGGCTATTAATCTCACATTTAAGAAAAAGAAAAAAACACTGGGCAAAAGAGGAACTCCTGGGATGCGATGCTGTAGTAGAGTAGGACTAGCTGGCTGGCAGTCAGTCAGAGCCACTTCATCAGGTTACTACCAGGAGCAGCAGCTCCGAGCAGAGATCTCCACCAGACACAGGCCAGGGGTTGGGTACATGACTGCCTCCCACTGCCCACCGGGTTCAATACTGTCATGGCTTGGGGGAGTGAAGGGGGGGAAGCGGAGGGTGGAAATAATACTCATACACTCTTCAGACACAGATGTATATTTAGATAAGTGAACTACAAAGTTGCTTAAACCTAATTACTACTGTAAATGTAATTTAAACTACCCAAAACATTTCCACTGCGCAAGGAAGAGCTATAACAATAGGAGGAAGCACTAAGACACAGTTGCTATTCTTGATACTCAAAACCACTTATTCTGATGAATAACCAAGACTTACTAATTTAAACTGAGTATGTTTCTGCCTCCTGGGCATTTTCAGACTGTATAAAATTAGAAGTCTTAGCGGGGTTCTGAGGATGACCTTGTTTACCTCCCTATTCAAACACGTCCTGCATCTACGGGGTGCTGTGCCTTGCAAAAACCGTATCTTTCTTGCTGGACACTAACAGCAGAAAGAAGTGACAGGTACCAGGGTAATAAACACCAAGCTGCCTATTCACTTCCTTCAAACACAGGTACCTATTATCACTGCAGCCAGCTGACAAAGCACGACACGTCACTTCTAAGGTGTGACAGAAGGGAGGCAGATGGGGCGAAGGATCAGCAGGCAGGTCCCTCTCAGGCTGCCATGAGGAGCCACCACCTCTGCCAGCCCGGCTGCGTCAGTCGGGCTCAGATGGAACCGGAGTCCACGCTGCAGAGCTCGTCCCCAGCACCACCCTCACGGACCGCTTTGCACTCCTTATTTTTCATAGAGAAAGAATACGCAAAAGCTCAAATTCCCAAGCTCTCGTCCCAGCCCATTTCACAAACCTCATTTTGATTTTTGCAAGTTGGATCTTCTATTGTTTTCTGGAAAATAGATGGGGCAACAGAGCTACAAATAGGAAGAGTGTCAGAAATGGACTGTTTTAATGTGCTGCCCCAGTTCTCAGCCCAAAGCCGTGATAGATTAGGTTGTCATCTTGTTTATTTCCTGCACCACAATCACAAGCAGCAGGATGGGCTCCACGGGTTGAACTCACCCTGAGTCAATGCGTTTTCGGGCATCCCATAGGAGTTACTGCCCAAAGAATGACAAACATCCACTCCTGAAAGAAGAGAACTCATGCACATGGCACGGCCCCACAATCAGTGCAGAGCACATGGTTTGGAACTACCAAGGTTATGAGACAGCTAAACAATAGCTACTGATAGCTTGACTCAGATAAGCTAGAGTTTTAGCAAGGATGGTAAAACAAGGGCAGGAGAAAAGTAGGAGCGACCTGATCATAGCTACACAACTAAGTTTTTTATTAAGGTAAGTGAAACACCTAAAGACCAGAGTGTGGACTAAGTACAAATGCAGTTTTCAAAGCAATGTCTCATTTGGGGATTTTTGGATAGATTTTCATACCTTATGGTTTTAAAAATATCCCCAGAAGTTTTTATATTGGGTCAGTCTAGCTGAAACTACTTCAGAATTAGGGGGAACCCCTCTGTGTTACTGAAGCTTGTCTTGTTGAATGATTACAATAAAAACCAAGTCCACTTACCAAAATACACCAAATTCAAGATCCAGAGAAAAATATTATCAAATAGGTCCCCACACACACGGATATAGGGCATTTACTTGGGAATGAAATGCCACTGTGCTCATTTGTGCACAGGACATCCCTCAGCCTCTGAGCAGGGGAACAGAACACCCCCCTCTCAAAGGGAGCAGGATTTTTACAGATCCCAATTGCTCAATTAGTTAATTCCAAAATAAAAAGAAAATTTAATACAGCCTAGTATCAGAAGTTCTTATTTAGCAGTCAATCAATAGTAAGTGCTAATTATTCCACTCATAAGCAACAGTTGTGCTTGTACTCAAAAGTGCCGTCATTTATCCTAACAGGCTTCTGTTCTACTTTGTCATCTCTTTAGCAGTAACAGGTCCATCAGGAGGAATCCAAACTTCTGTGTGTGGAGCGATTACAAGTGGCCTGTAATTTATATTTATGGGTATTCTCATTTGTCCTCTAGAAGAGAGCAAGAACAGAAACAGAACTGGGCTGCTGCTTTAAAGGCTCAGAAGTTGGGTGTTTTTTTTTTTAAAAAAAAGTGTCAGCTGTCACTATTTTTGCTATGCTGGCAACCTGCTCTGAAGTCACCACACACAGCTTGTTTGTACTAGTTTCATCTATAAACGATTCAACAGCTGGAACAAAACTGCTTGAGATGCTGAACCTGATTGCACAATACAGCTCACAGCTCTTACAGAGCTATTAGTAGTCAAGAGTTTGTTAACTCGTTAGGAGAGGACTTGTTTTTCCAAAATATTCATGACAAAGTTTAATTACACAAGTCTTTATGAAAACCAGGATTGGAAGATTGCAGGCATGACTTGGGACTTAAGGGCCAATGAGGGGATGGAAGAGCTGGCTACAAACACTTCCAAATAGCTTTTTAGTAGGGGAATTAAAGGAAGAACACAGGCAGTTGAGGTTAGCGGTGCAAGCCCATCTCAAAGGTTCGTCAGAGACTAAAGTAGTGCCTGTAAATCCCCACATGCTATTTACTCTTGTATAAAACCCCACTGCTCTAACTGCAGGGTCAAAAAGGAGATCAGACATGTGAAGTCTCATGTACCAATGTCAAGTGATGTTGCAAGACAGATTTTTATTCTTCAGTTTACGCCGGTGTGCAAGTTCAGAGTAACACAGTGTGATTGCAAAGGCAAAAAGCAGACAGCACACAGATCATCCACTGAATAAGCACAGTGCATGCAAGCAAAACAAGCAGAAATTCAATTCAGACTCGCAGGTGAGTTGAAAACTACAAAGATTTCATAAAAGTAAATCTAAAAACATATACACAAGCAGATGAACTATAGCAACTATATTTTACCTCACAGCTCTGTAAGTTTGATGAACCCTTATAACCAAACTGACATCAGGACTATCTGCTTTAACTGGGCTGGTCTAAGCAACCAAACTTCTGTACAGTGGACATTTTCTGCCACAGCCATCACCACGGTCAGTAGCTGCTGACTTGACTCCTGCTCAAGTTTTAGCCCAACACACAGCTCACACTGGGAGCAGCACCACTGGGCT